ATAAAAACAAGTGGCCCATACCAAGGATATATACCTTGTTGGATCAACTGCAAGGGGCTAAAGTCTTCTTAACCGTTGACTAGCAGCTGGGGTACTATCAACTTTGCATCAATAACGTCGATTGTGCCAAAATGGCATTGTCACTCTATTAGGCCTGCATGAGTTCAAGGTCCTTTTGTTTGGACTTGCAAATGCTCCAGCGATGTTTCAGCAGACAATGCACCACATCTTTGGTGACCAAATTGGCAAACACGTTCTAGTATATTTGGATGACATACTTGTTTTTAGCCAGACTGCTGAAGAGCATTTACAACACCTTAAACAAGTGTTAGAAGTGCTACAGCAACAGAAATTATATTGCTAACTACACAAGTGTCAGTTTAACAAGGAGGAGATGTCCTATCTAGGACATATTGTGTCTCAAGAAGGCATTTGGCCAGACCCGGAAGAGATTGAACAAGTGAAGAACTGGCCTGTGCCATAGTGGGTGAAGCATGTTCAACAGTTTCTTGGGCTGGCAAAATACTTTTGAGAGTTCATACAGGGCTATTCGAGAATGGCCACTCCCTTGATGGACTTGACCAAGAAGAATGGTAAGTGGGAGTGGACTGCAGAGTGTCAATCAACATTGGAGCATATAAAGGAGTTTCTAACGATGGCTCCATTGCTCAAAATGCCAGACCCCAACAGACTATTTGAGGTCATAGCAGATGCATCCCAAACTGTTGTGGGAGCAGTCCTCATGCAGGACAACCATCCCATTTGTTACGCAAGTAGAAAGTTCCTCCCTGCAGAGTTCAACTATAGCATGACAGACCAAGAGGCATTAGCTTCCGTGCATGCCATCCAGTTATATGGCAATGTTACCTTGAAGGTACACATTTCAAACTGGTGGCCGATCACTGCCCATTGACTTATCTTAAATCACAACCACAATTGAGCAGGCGTCAAGCCAAATGGTCTGAAATATTTCAACAATTTGACTTTGTTTGGGAATACCGCCCAGGGCGAAAGAATGTGGCTGATCCACTTTCAGGAATTCCTCCAATCCCTGGTGAATAGGAAGCTAAGAGGAAAAGTCAACTGGTTGTTTGTGGCTTGAGGGTAGTAAACAAGTGGGGTAACAACAGAAAGTCAAAAAGGACGGTAGAGGCAAAAGACCTGGCCTTCAAGATCCATCAGGCTTATATCCAAGACCCCCAACTTGAGTTTTTGAAACAACAACAAGAATTGCGCTGTACATATGGCCTTTGGTTGCAAGGCGAGCATGCATATATACTAGCAAGTCTAAGGACTAAAATCTGCTAGTTGGCACATAACCATCCAAGTGTAGGACACTTTGTTCAAGCCAAAACCCTGGACTTAGTCCAGCGGTATTATTAGTGGCCAGGAATGCAACGAGAGGTGCAACTATATGTTTACATCTGCTTGGTTTGTCAACAGGCTAAATATTCTCATCAAAAGACCCCAGGCTTGTTATGGCCATTGGGCATTCCTGAGGAGCCATGGACTAAATTGTCTATGGACTTCATTACTGAACTGCCAAAAACGAAGGGTGGTCATGATGCTATTGTCGTATTTGTTGATAGACTGACCAAGATGGTGTGCATTGCAACCACCACAAATGAAGTCTTAGCAGAAGGAGCAGCAGACCTCTTGGTGCAGAATGTGATATGACACCACGGTCTCCCCTCTACGATAGTGTTTGACAAAAATATTCGGTTCACTTTCAGGTTTTACCGGTACCTGGCAGAGAGGTGGAAAGTGTAGCTCAACCTGAGCACTGCGTACCATCCTTAGACGGATGGCCAGACCGAAGTCATGAATCAGATTCTAAAGGACTACTTGCACATTTATACACGTTCTGACCAAGACGGGTGGGATGAACTGATAGCCATGGCCGAGTTTTTAGTGAACAACTCGAAAAATAGTGGAACATGAGAGACCCCGTTATATTTGAACTGCGGTCGACACTCAAGGAGTCCCTTAACTTTTGGGATACAAATTCAAAAACCTGTGAAAGGTTATGACCATCTGAATGCCTGCAGCTTAGCAATGGCCATCGATAGGGCACAACAACTTTATTTGAGGCGAAATGGTAAGCCCCTCATAGAGGGAATATCAGCAGTGACACGATTTGATCACCGTGTCCAATCAGCACTGAGAGAGGCCAAGGCGTGCTCAGAGAAAGCACAAGCTAGGCAGTCAAAACATGCTGACCACCATCGGAGGGATGTGTTTTTTATTAAAGGAGATGACGTCCTTCTTTCAACACAACGTATTGCCCTGATTCAGTGCTTTGGGACTCGAAATTACTACCGAAGTGGATTGGGCCCTTCACCATCCTTGACCGGATAGGTTCTGTCGCATATCGACTAAAACTCCCAAAAAGCATGAATAAGATGCATCTGGTTTTCCGTGTATCAAAATTAAAGCTTTATAAGGCTAGTGGCAGAGTACAGCCACTCCCAGTCCCTATCGAGATCGAACGGGAGTTGGAGTATGAAGTCGAACGCATTCTTGATAAAAGAATCAAAAAGCGTGGCCATAGACAGGACTCTATAGAGTACCTTGTCAAATGGCTGGGTTACGGTCATGAGCATAGTAGTTGGGAGTCAGCAAAAGCATTTGCCAATGCATAGGAATTGGTTCAAGCATTTGAAAATAGCAGAACTCCTATTGCAAATAAGCAAATTGGTCACAGTATGAGACGTACACACTGATGTGAGAAAATTTGTGCTTTGCATGTGATAGGCAATTCTGCGGTGGGCGCAAAAAAATACCGGATATCGAGGCCCCCGTTCCCACACGCAATTTGGACATATGAATATTATGTCCATTGCCATCGTGAGTGGTGAGAGAGTCCAAAGCGATGGCCCACTGGTGACTACCACTGATCATGGACGCGGTTGAGGCTGGCACCTCAGCTATGCCCTGCGTGGATGTGGGCGCGTGTGGATGGCAGGAGGTGGTCGTACGGGGGGACATGCGGGATGATCCCTGCATGCCCTAGACATTTCCTAGACTTGCGCAAGCCGAGAGGTCATAGATTAGAACTTATAAATTATACATAGTAATGACATTCCAACCGGTAAGTTGAAGGAAGAGTTTTAATGAGGGTTGTCTGCAAGAAAGTTTTCCATGTAACAAGCATTCTTTCTCTTCAGTATTTGTGTAATAACTACCATATGGTTAGCTGGGCATGTGTTGTGGAGCTACTTGGGGGCAGGCAGTAAATGATGTTTTCTGCAGCTGTATTACGTAATCTCGCTGAGCCATCCTTATCTATAGTTTTATTATGACTTCCTGGTTCCAATGCATCTTTCAGCACTCAGTTCTATGGAGTATTGAGGAAGATATGGCCTCTTGAAGACGCAATACTTAGAGGCCGGGTGCTGGGTGGGGATGGTTGGAATTAGAGCTAGATTAGGTTGATTATAAGTGACGGGGGCGTTGGGACACGGTCCGGACATTACACTGAGCTGTCATTGTCTGATATGACGCGGTGGACCCGCGACCGGGCACTGCGCGGAATGTATGGATGCGTGCCGCGCGCGTCAGACTGTAATCGCCATTCGGGCCTTTCTCTGCCTCGCCGCGAGGCAGCGAACCGCCGACCGCCGCTGCGAATCCACCGCCTGCACACGGCAGGCTTCGGGGAAGGTCCCCGAGCGTCCAAAGGGCCTACCGTGCTACCGAACAACCGAGCACCCCGACAACGCCCGCCGGAATCCGGTGGAGAGGCGCAGCATCGAGGCCGCGCCATCGGGTGCGGCGACCGCCCCCAGAACTCCGGAAACCTGTGGCCGCCCGCGGGCCGCAACAGAATGTGGCAGGATGCACAACCCGGCTCTACATACAGCAGGCTCATGAGCCAAGCATATGTCTACTCTCATATCAATGCACTGGGATGGGGGCGTCCCACCTCCCTGAGGGGGACGAATGTTTCGCACATTGGCCTGATGTGGGGGACACCCTACTAATGGTCTCTTGGAGTGGGGGATGCCCTTCCCAAGATACGGTAACAATTCTCCAACCAGACTATATTATTATATGATATGGGGGTAGGTCGGGGTGGTCCTGCCTAGGTCCCCGTAAGGACCTAGGTGCCCAACGAGGTGAGTCCACGGCTCAAAGAGGGTAGGAGCCCCACACCCACACGTATCACTTGCCAACCGACTATCGCTAGGGAACCTTATATGCACCATTGTCTGCGCAACAGGGGCACTTTGAGCTACTTTGCTTTGGAGGTCGTGGAGTGGCGGCACCGTATTCGGGGCTGGGGTGGGTGGAAGTCTGGCACCATGTGGTCGTATATTGATGTTTTTTATTTACCCATTGAATGGGACTTTCGATTGTTCGGATAGATGACCATCATTGCCCATGACCTCCACAAAAGATTTGGGCATATTTTCTGCCCCGGCGGTGCCTCCAGTACCCATTGAGAGTGAATGTGCAAATTGTTAAGTATGGGGAGCTAGGGTGTTTGGAGGTCATGATGATGGACACCTTTTTATGTTGTCTTGTCATGTGTTGGAACATGACCGGGCGGGTTCAGGAGACCGGTCAGACAGAAAAAAGAACAACTAGACCATTATCGCAAAAACGAATAGTCCCGGCCACTGTCGCAAAAACAAATGGTCCACTGCCGCAAAAACAAGTGGTCCACTATTGGCAAAAAGAGTATTCTGGCACTGTCGCAGAAAGAAATATTCGCCGTGCCCATGCAGTCGGAGGAAGCAGGAAGTCGTGCGCACGCGCACCGGCAGGCGGGCGCTGAGCAACATTTAACAGCGCCAAACCGGTGAGGTTTGGTCGTCATTGCGGTCGGTTCGCTCAATATCCTCGCATCTCTGGGCCGCATGTCCCAGGTAGTTGTCGCGCCCATACTTTGCCACCCTTCAATATTAGAGCACCGCACGCGCCTTCGGCTCGGCCTGAACGGCCCACGGGCGACTGGAGGTCGGAAGAGCGGAGGCATGGCCGGTCGAGGCGTCGCCATGGGTTGGGCGGGGCCCATCCTGCTGGTCACCGCCCTGTGTTTCGCGGGCGCCGCCGCCCAAGTTCCTACAACGCACTTGGCGGTGATTTACCTGAACCGATTCAGCATGGCAGACGTGTCCGCCCTGGTGGACCCCAGCTTCGCCTACACGCACTACCTGTTCGCCTTCTGGCTGCGCGACAAGGGCGGGCCCGTGGACGCGGCCCGGGTGTGGGTGGATAACAACTTGGGCAACGATTCAAGGATCCAGGAGGCCCGCTCAAGGGGCGTGAAGTTTATGATCTCTTGCGGCGGCGGCACGGGCAGGCCACAGTTCCAGGGAGGCTTCCGCGGCGGGGCGGTGACGGACGGCGCGATGTACGGCCGCGAGGTGGCTGAGTTCGCTATGGCGAACAACTTCGACGGGGTAGACTTCGACATCGAAGGTGAGGGGTCCCTCGCGCAGCTCGCTGGGCGCCGGACTCAATGCAGGGCGCGGCTGGTCGGACGCAGCGGGTTTGTGGCCCCCAGGGAACTCGAGATGGGCCATCCCGCCGGCATGCGATGCCGGGGTGGGACGAAAGGCCTCCATCGAGTCCAGACGCCCCGACCACGGCTTGCGACTCGAGGCCGTGACGGTTGTTTTCGTCAAGGGTGCGCCGATTTGTGTTCTCTCGACAAAAGGGACCCCCTTCTGTTTGCTCTGTGCGCCCCCTGCAGGCAGAAGGGGTTTGTGACGCCGTTTCATCAATTTTGACGACGGCCACTGGTCCCGAGTTCCAACGGTATGCTCATGCCGATCTCAGAATTGGTAGCACACGCCCCTGGTGGCGAGGAAAACAAGGCCTCGCTTCTCACCTAGTCCCGACAGCGAGGAACGCCATGGGGCCCCGCTGGCCTTGGGAACGGGGTTGTCGCTGGTTCCGCGGCGCTCGTCGTTGCGCTACCTGGCTGATCGTCCTTCGCATAGGCGGGCCACTACAGCTGCCCGGCTGCCTTGCGCTTTCGATGACGACAACCGCCTTTCAGTATGCGATGTCCCGTGGTCAAGGAAAATGCTGGAGATGCTAATCATCGCAGCGGGTCATCGTTGTTCGGCAACGTGATTTTGAGACACCGATAGACCTTTCTGTGCCACCCGGCGTTGCCAGACAAAGGCAGGATTTACAGCATCTTTGTGCTGGGTGAACAGAGTTTTCTTGCAAAGAGGATGTGGGCCTATGTTTGATTTCATTTCATTTTTGACCATTGTTTGTTGCAAGCAAATAAGTTAGTGAATTAATGAGGGACTCCCAAATTCTTGGATATGTGCGCGTGCGCTCGCTATTGCTTGCAAAATGCAAGACGCACGCTTTGCCTGATTGATGATCGAATCTGACAAATTATGGTGCATTTCATCCTCTCCAAAATGCATTCAAGAAGTGTTGTCCGATTCTGTTATGCCCGGGGAGACCACCTAGGCGAAAGCATGCTTTGCTATTTTTGAACAATCCACCCAGAATTCACTAATGCCTTGGTCATTTTATTTCTAGTAGTTGGCCCTTCGCCAATTTTGAACCTGTTACTCCAAAGCCCGAGTTTGAACGTGGGTTCGTCAGGGTGGCCGTGGTGATCACCATCAATAGAATGCATGGTCCCTGATGCTCTGCGAATATCACAGGCCCTGCTCAGGTCGCCCAATCAGAAATTCAATTTCAGACGTCAATCACCTTCACTGCTGGCTCATGGGGCCTCTTCATAGCAATTAATTAGACCTAGAAATGTTTTGCCAATGCACAACTCCGTGCTCTGTCAATCAACATAGCTCTGACCAAATTACATCCACTTTCTGCAGGTTGGGCGCAGGCCAACGATGGACTTGGAACTCAATGGTTGATTGATGCCACTTTGGCAGCCAAGACAACCTTCCGTAATGGCATTATCACCCATGCACCTCAGGCGCCCTACTTCTCTGATAGGTGGAGTACCAATTTTTTCCTTGTGCACCAACAAGTAAGTGGCTATGCACATCTCCCGGAGTTAACCTGGCCCGCGGGCTTTTCACAGGAGAGCATTATGCACAATTTGCCGACAATCGTTGATTGAAAAGCGTTTTGCTTATTGTTGGATATATTATTTATATACTCTGGGATCGCGTGTTGATGTTGAAAACTATCTTGACCTAATAATGAAACCATATAGTCTTGGCCATATCCTTTCATCAATATTTTTTAGGCAGTATAGTATATGGTAAATTTAATCTCCCTCATTTGGGGCCCAAGCGGGCCCATGGCTCCACGCAATCTCCCCCACACCTTCCCATATTGAATGGTCCACAATTTTGTGGTCCTGGTGATATAAAATACTCGTTGTTGTACTATATTGCATTTCTTACATTTTGTAGTCCATATTGCACATGTTAGTGCTTGCTGACTGTGCCATAGGTGGGAAGCATGATCGACTTCTACAACATCCAATTCTACAACCAAGTTACGAGCGAGTACGACACCTATGAGGAGTTATTTGAAATGGCAACAGGGGGCTCAAACATGACGGCCTTGCGCCAGATAAGAGATGGCACTTCCTTTGGCTTCCCCGGTATCCCCTTGGACAAAATTGTCCTTGGCAAGCCAGTGACATCCAATGGTGTGGTAAACACGGGTTTTGTGGAGATGACCCAACTTTCCAGGTTTTTGGTGCAAGCAAAGGCCAAAGAAATCTTGCCGCGTGGGTTCATGGGTTGGCAGTGGTTCTTGGACATTGAGGAATTGGACAGCCAATGGTCACATGTGATGGGATCCGCATGGACCGGCTTCCCAATCCCTCCACCGCTTCCTGAGAGGCAAGGGCCGGAGATCATCATGCTGCCACCTCCACCTGTGGGCAGCGGGCAGTGTGCAGGCAGCTACACGGTGCAGTCTGGCGATTCGCTGTCCAAGATCGGCCGATTGTATCCGGATACCATTCAAGTTGGTCAAGTTTTGAAGATTCCACCTTGCGACCCTGGAGTTGATGGTGGAACACCTGAACCACCAGCGGCGCCAACGACACCAGGATTGCCGTCGTGTGATGATAATAATGATGATGAAGAGGAGGAGGATTTTGACGACGGTGATGATGATGTGAATAATGCTGCTCCCATTGTCCTTGTCCCTCCTCCAGCGGGTAGTGGGGAGTGTGCTGCCCTGTACGAAGTGGCTCCTGGAGACACCCTGTTTGCGATTGGTCAGATGTTTGGCCTCCCATATCAGGAGGTGTTTGCTGCCAATACAGATATCCTGCCCGATGAGAATACCATTGAGGTTGGTCAGGTGTTGAAGATCCCACCTTGCGATCCTGGCGTTGTATCGCCTTGAAAGTTGACACGATCGGACCCGCCAATCTGTTTTGAGGGAGCGCCTTGTTCAAGTCGCTGAGCTAGTTGTTGTATTGGGTGAGCAATATGGCATCGACTACCAGGATGTTTTTGCCCTCAATACAAATAAGTTGTTGGACCCAAGTCACGGAATTGCCAACCATTACTTGAGGCTACCCTGCGTAGGATCACAGATGCCACAACACGTTGTACCTCCACCAATGGATTTGAATGGCTGCCATGTGGGATGTAGTGTCCAACTTGGTGAGGCGGTCCATATTTTGGCTGAGATGTTTGGCCTCTATTGGAAGAAGATCGTTGACGTCAAAAATGATAGACTGACATACCCACGCCAAGACTCAGAAGGATTCCACCGTGTTCATCTTTGAGTAGTTGATGCGATGACGGGAACGGTGTTCTTGGGATAGTCTTGACGCCAGTGGAGGGACATCTGTTGCCACGACTTGATATTGGTGTTGTCTGCCGAGCGGAATAAGAAGGACTTCCAATAGTTCGCTTTGGCCAAGCTCTAAAAGAGGGTGGCCTGCATGTTTTGGATGCATACATGTTCATGCCTTGAACTAAATTCCAATATGAGCCTTATTTGGAGTGCACCAAAGGCAGGCAGAAAACGTTGTGCAGTTGGATCAGATCATGGGCAATGTATTGATTAGCGGTGGTTATCCGGTGTGGTTGAATCCCATCCTGGCGAAGTGACATACCTTGGAGCTGTAGCAAACCAGAACATGAGCAGCACGGTTGCACTATTTAACGAGTCACTGTTCGTGATGAAACCTTCCGCATGTTCGTGTTTTTCAACTCGGGTAAGGAACGCATGTGTGGCAAGTCTACGGGCATACATCCGCTCGCCGCGTCATTGCCACCCACTTGCAAAAATGACGTACAGGAACTTATCCCCAAAATGGATGCGTGCCCCAGCCCACATCAAGGCAATGCCCATTCCGGAATAACATGTTTCTCTCCAGAAAGCACCCATGGAGGCCCTTTGAAGTTGAAACTGCATGCCATGTTTGATTAGTCATAGCGTCACCGCACAGTCGTTTACCATGGCCTGCTAAATGGGATGAGCAGCAGGGTATCCCGTGAAAATGGTCAGCAACCACCGTGCCAAAATATGTTTGATGCTTGAGAACAGATAAACCACCTGAACAAGTTTTATGAGGTGGCGGTCTGCCTTAAGGAAGACAATTGCTTCCCGACGGCAATCTGTACTGCCTCATGGCCAACGTGAGCACCTCTGCTCAGGCATGTTATTCAAGTTTATGTTACGTTTACGGTCTTATGCGTAGACACGCAAATTTGCAAACACGGTTATTTTTATGGCTGCCATTACGTTTTTCTGGCTCGCCTTGGCACCCAGGTTACACGATGAAAGCCCGTAAGGCAAGGGTAGCGATGGTGCGGAACAAGAAGCGTCTTTTCGGCAGTCCAGCGCGTCTGGCTGCAACTCCCGGACTCCCTAGGTCCGTGTATATTACCTTCAAGTACACGGGGGTGTCTTTACGTTGTATTCACGTATTTTGAAGTATTTTGACGCATCTTTGCGCGTCAAATGTAGAAACTACTTTTACGTGTAGAACCTTGCCTATGTTCAGTTTTTACGGCGTAATTAACAAACCTGCCTCTGCTGATCACAGCAAATAAAGTACATCTATCATCAACATTACATATCAGCGTTTGAATGACCGTTGTCAATGGCATACATATCGTGTTCCCAGTTGCTCCCAACCGGCCGGCTCAACAGTGGTACCAACGCATGCAGCTGCCCTCAAAAATAATGTGATGGCGGTGACGGAACAATTCCATCGTTGAATCCACCCTCAATGCAATGCGGATCGCAATAAACACCCATTCCTGTCCCAATCCCACTAACAGTGCACTAGCACCTCAACGGCATCATTCCTCGGCTAGCCAACACTGCAGCCACGCCAAATGTCACACTTTCTCGCCCCCGAAGACGAGCTCACACAACGAACTCTAATAGTGGCTCCACAAAGATCTCTCATTCTTAAAAAGTTGCTTGCGCGCCGGGGGAGAGCTGCTTCCTTTGCCTCGATTTCCCACTGTCCACTTCCGTATTGGAACCAACATGGGAGCAGCGCGTTCGCGCGCCGGTTGGGCCCATGCGCCTCAAGTCTGTATCCGCCTATCCGTCGTACATCGAGTCTGTCGCGCTGAGAAACGGAACGAGTATTGCTTCGGATTCGGTCAGCCTCTCTGAGGCTCGACGACGGGGTTCACTGTGTCGTGGTAGCCCAAAGGTCCGTAGTTCGCCTGCCGTGCGGCCAACAACGCATCGTCAATGGGGTTAGTTCCACAGACGTCATTTAGCCGCACGCGGCAGAATGCGCCCCTTCTGCCTTGTCAGGGATAAGGGATGCAAACCCCTTGTTTCTGTGTTATCGACCTCAAGCCGGCCTGGGACCCGCGAAAGCAAGGGCCAAAAGCGCGCATTGGCCCAATCGCGCCGAAAGGCCAAGGGACAGAGAGCGAGAGAAACTACGAATTGAGCGGGTGTGGCACCCCCAAGGCATGGTGAAAAATGGCGAAACACATGGCTGCATTCCGTGATTTCGGGTAGCTTGTGCCTACGGAGGGTGATCGATATGCGGCTTCAAGCACTTTGCCTTGTCTCTCTGAGCATGGATAAAATTACTCAAAATTGGCAATTAACAAGAGAAGAGGAAGAAGAGGATAAAGATAAGGATTTGGGTCCGTAAAACTGGGCGGCGAGGCCAAAAGCAGCATGGCCGAAAGACTTGTGCAGTTCTGGACCAAAGAACTCGTGAACCAAAGCGGTGCGCACTGCCAAGCTTGTGCTACGATTCCACACCTCGGGGGTGCCAAGGCTGGCAATTGGGATAACGCGTCCTGACATAAAACGTCAAAACTGGCTATGGCACGTGTCTCCACGGGCCCCATACTGTCAGGCATCTACAGTGCCCCTGATGACCTACAAGTACCTCGTAACGCTCGACGAGAAGATCAGATAGGCGCAGGTAGAGAAACGGCACGCACGCTGCAAGGCGATTCGACAGACGTCCGGAAACATAAATTTAAAAATCCAATTTCGGCGTTGCGCGTTTTCTATCAGCTTGTGTGTCAACAATCCCACAAATAGTGAGTCCCCACAGCAGCGCCAACAATGGGTCCGAAACACTAGCAACGAAGGGAACAGATAACATTTTTTGCGAACACATACACATGCATTTCGTCAGCGTTTTGCATGCTACAAACACGGAAATAACCCAAACCCGTAAACGCTGTACACGTTCGAACACGTGTTATGTGGCCCTTTTTGTCCCAGTGAACAAACACCCGTTTTCGCAGCACAAACTTGCAAGCCACTGTTTACCAATCCACTGCGGCAACCGTTCACAGATTATTCCATTCTGTCGTTGCTTTTTTTTTCCACTGTAGGGACAACAGAAAGCGGCGACAGGATGGAATTGCAGCATGCGACTCACCGGCCACGCCGGCAGTGTGGGGTCAGTGTCCTGGGCGGATGGCGTGGAGTCGAACAAATGGGCTTCGACGCCTGGAACGTTCGATGCGTCAATGCCGCTGTGCTCTGGCGTCAACACGCCGTCCACGAGGAGTAAGAAGCCCTGCACATCCATGCAAACCAAAGCAGGAGTCAGAGCCTTCATCCTGCAATTGCATAGTATGCGCCATTGCGCAAGGACATTGACGGCAAGCTGGAACTCGGGGAGAGGACGGGGCCAACTGCCGTGGTGTTAAAATGCCACAGCGGTTTTGCGCAAGCACAACTTTGTGCACCTGGGAAAGGAAGTTCAACAGTTTGTGCGACGTTGTGCAGCGAGTCAATTGTGTTGATCTTGCACAAAAGCATGAATATATGCAAGGAGGGCGTGGCATATAAACATGGAATTTGTGGAGTCCATGCACAGCCCGGAACAAGATGCATAATACCCTGGGCGTTTTTGGAGGCATTCTCACCAGATTCACCGGCATCTGATCAGTGGCCTATGTATGAGGTAATGACCAAACGAATTCGACTGGCCGTGTAATGATAGGCCCCAAACACGAGCACTGTTTGCCGAAGAGTGCTGTTTTCGATCAGGCCCCATTCTTGCTGTGGTGACAAATTTCTGATATCGTGTGGTACTTACATCAGGGCGAAACATGCTAAGACGGCACCAAACATTGCAATCCCTAATGACTAAATCTGCTTTGATCGCATTCTTCAGTGGGCTGCACATAACGTTGAAGTCATGCTTTTGCCGTTGCAATCAGCCACTGCGACTGTACAGCCTGTCCCCGCTTCGACTCATGATGCACCACCGATGCATATGTTTGCGAACTACGGCATACTGAAAAACGCTCGCAGCAGAAGAATTTTCGCCCCAGAAAAATGTTCGCACACCTCGCGTTCGGACCACTGCAAGAGATTTTTTCTTCGCGAGCATTTTGGTCATGTCAATTTTTTCGCCAGCGAACTTTTTGACGTCTCCCCAAAACGCTTCTGGCGCTGGGCCGCTTTGGCCACTTGGCTTTGCTCGGCCACGACTGCACAGTGTGGCGTTCTTTCCGAGCAGCAAATGCCGCGAAGGAGCCCCTCAGCTGACCAGCAGATCGTTCGCACCAGTGGCCAGCGGCTGGATGAATCCTGATGGAGCCCCGTGGTTTGGTGGCTGCTGGGCGCATTTGGAGGCCACCGGCGCAGTATGGCCCACAAGGGTGCAACAAGGCAGCAAAAAGACTGCCGTCTAGCAGCCACAGGGAACAGAAAGCGGCGTTTGCTGCCAGAGGAATCGACAATGGCTATGTAAATTTCGGGCGGCGGAAACTCTCTTGGTAAAGAAAGTTAAAGGTGGACAAGACTTCGTGGATCTGCGATTGCCTGAGAATATTTCCGCGCGATTTTTTTCCTGCGGGTTACTCGAAAATATTTCCGCACGATCATTTTAGACATACGGTAATTCGCCCCCTCAACAATTGCGGCAGCCGTGCCAGAGTGTGCGGTTCGCGTATTAGCCAGCGTGGTCGCCCACCTTGCAGGCCTCTTTGTCCCCTCCCAGAAGATTGACCTGGTTGGTTTGGCCGTTGAGAATGACGGCCTGTCCGCCGGTCTGCCTCACAGCGAGCGCCCTGCCCTCCATGGTGGCCATGTGCACGCCGTCCAGGAAGAAGGGCGAGGTCCACGGCGCGTTGGCCCGGGCCTCTGGAAGGACGATGTGGATTTGGAGCAGCGCCTGGAGGTTGGCCTTCTCGGCTGCGCTGAGTGTCGTCGCATCGATCGCCACGTTGCCTGTGTCGGGCAACCCGTCTCAGCGTTGGGGCGTTGGGATGATGGCAGCATCCAGAAATCGGGATGGAATTACAACAACGTTGATGGGCCTTGCTGCAACGAGTTTGTTTATGCGGCTCCTGTCAATTTTGCTCCAGTTACCACGCTCCAACGCCTTACAAGTAACATTGGCCGCAGTTTTGGTAAAATTTGCGATTTGTAGACTGTTAGAATTCATCCCCCATGGGCATCGATGGCATCAAGGACAAAAATGCAGATGGAGCGTTGATGCTCAAGGCTTGCAGCAACATTGACAAGGAGCGCATCAGCAAACTCGTTGCAGCAAGGCCCATCAGCGTTACCGTAACTCCATCCCGACTTGCAGATGGCAGCGGCACCGAAGCGACAATTCCTGAAGGTGAAGTGTCCCCCATGCCATATTTCCTCTAAGCAATCATACTTGGGCCGACAAACACATCGAATACCGCAGTTTTGGGGGAAGTGGAGTTCATCTGGCACTTGGCGCGTCGTTCATCGCGATGCATTTGCTCAAACTTGGATTACGATATTGATAAAAATGTGCGACGTCAATTTTCACGAACATAAACTGCTAAATTTCACATTTTTATGCCAATATCTAACTCAACCCTCTGACGGAGTCACTATGTGCAGCACCCTAGAATGCATGTACGGCTCTTCAAAATATCCTTGAGGTACAGAGCTATTTTCGTGAATTTGTGTTGATTGAACAAAGTCAAGCTACCCACAAAAACTCACCGAGCTCCTATCTAACAACTGGGAACAAAAAGAGCGCCAATATGACACAAGCGATCGGAATCTATGGGGTCTCCTCTAGAAAATGCTCCCTCCAGTTCAGTCAGCAGCAACAACGCCACCAAATGATCACACATTTTGGGTGCTTCGAATTTATGGCGTTCATTTTTGGCAAAGAACAGCGTGGACATGAAAGCTATGTTAGCCAGCACTGTGACGCTTTGCCGTCCAGCATCCATCCCATCTGCGAAAATAGGCCCAGGACCCAGACTGGTCTCATGGCAGGCAGCAAATATTGATTCACAATGGTGCGAATCACTGTGAGCCAGCCTTGCGGCAGGCAATGCCCTTTCTGCCATTCACCTGGGGGGAAACAAAATGCTGGCTGGCATGTACATCCCCCGGACATTAACGCCAATTAAGATTGCTCCGATTGAAGCAAATACATGAAGGGCAGTTCGTGTTTGTCGCTGTCAAGAGAGCAATTGAATGGGGGTTATGTGCCTAATGCCACAATCATCACGTCCTCACTCTTGGGTTGCAGCCATTCGTAAATGGATCCCTCAGGAGGCACCAGGAACGACGCCATGAAGCCGGGGTTGTCCAGGTATTCTCCCATGTTCGTAGCGTCCATCGCATTCACAAACTCCTGGAAACCCTCGTCCAGTGCGATTTGCCTGTACGTCTTGCAGCATGGGCACCGGCCACACGTGATCTGGCAATAACCTGCAGCCGTGGTACCGGGTATCAGTCCAATAGTGCAACTGAGACACAACACATTAGGAGACGCCCAGGAGTCATCTGCTGGCCATAATGAACTTGGCGCGGGGTTTGAACCTGCATCATGTCACACTGCTGAATATCGTGTACTGATAGTGCAAGAAGTACAGAGTTGGGACGAAACTGCGCAGCTGCAACAGTGTCCTCGGTGCCTTTTTCCACGGCTGCATGACTCTCACGAAGTTGAAGAGAATAGACACTGTAATTTCTGGTATGCACAGCTTTGGCTACTTTCTTGCTCTTCCACGAGCGCGGCCACTGATATTACTACAGACTCCTTGATAACATGATGCTCCACGTTGCAGTATGACATTAATGGCAAAACACCTAAATGTGGTCTATTGTATTTTATTCTTTCTGATGAGCAGTGTCTGGGGTGCCTCTCGATGCCTGCTGCGCCTATCACCCACAGTGGGGAGCAGACATGGAAGCACGAAAGGCCTCTGCGGACAAATTAGTTGACGAGCAAGAAATTCTTTATTTCATTCAATGAAACGTACGCTATGATTAAGCACAACACTCCAGGTCCGACCTTAAAGCCCTCAATCCGCTCCATTCGATGACATTCGACATGTCTGTTCTGGAACTTTGCAGCAAGGCAATGCCAGAATGAATTGTCACTGTACTTTTATGGATTTTATGACAGCGGCTTATTCTGGAATTGGCTTCTGATGGCAAACAAACAGCTGTTGGAACTGTAGTATAATACCGGATTGCTGATTGACACAAATGTCAATGCATCTTAGGCACCTCACCGAGCAACATTCACCTACTGTGCACGACATCATCTGTAATGGAATGTCGTGACCCTGGTCGTCAAACTTATGTTCAAAATGGCCAGGGCATCCCGTATTGCACCATACATAATAAATGAACTTTTCACTTGTCCTTGCTGCCTTTCAGTGTGCCCACTGAAAATGGTGATTGCCATGTATCCCCTTGAATGCGACGCTTTCACTCGGTCCTTCAGGTATGAGACCAACGACAAAGGAAAGGAATAGCAGAATCCCCCTGAAGTCAGGCGGCAATCCCATGTCATGGTGTGTATTCGGGCAACGCAGAACCTCTGCCTACAAAATGAACCGATAATTTCGAAACTTGGCAACGGGCAACGCAACAGACATGCATTGCATCATTGAATCAACTCGATCGACGAGCGTCAACACGTACATCCATGAGCCGATGAGCAATGTATGGCGTTCAGCCCATGCTGCACGAAGAACTTAAGAATGTGTTCACAGGCACGTCACATGCGCCTGTGCACCGCAACGCACTGCTGCACGCCCATTTCTCTGCTCTTTTTTCTTGTTGGCAGCTATTCTGGAGCTCACCTTCCGGAATTTCTTCGATGGTGTTCAGCAGAAAAGGCTCGTCACATTGACCCCACTGGCGCTGCAAGGAGCAAGTGCCTTCGATGGGGGGTCCATCAAATCCCTCTCGGGGGTCGATATCCGAGCAGTCGCAGCCAAGAGGCTTCAATTCCACGCTCTGGCCTCCAACTGTGGGGCGGCACAAAGTTGAGCGTCTATCAGCACAGGTCTTGTTCGTGTTCGTTCTATCTAATCTGCTGACTATTGTCCGCCAATCGGTTTCAACGCATCAGTATATAGGGACATGTCATGCTATGGTTACCACTTTTCCTGGTCCAATTTCCTTCGTTGGGTTCACAAATTACCCGGGTAAATAATATCCAAGGAGTCCAAAACAACAGATAATTTCAACATCATTGGTCACGTGAAGCAGGCATCTTTTCGGCATCTGCCCAAAGCAGCGCAAGGAGCAGCAGGCCTTGCTGCGGAAACACGTTCACGCATGAGGCCCATGCAAGTGCTTCGTTCCAGTCTAAGTTTTCTCGGTTCACCTGTTCCCCATGTACCGCTACACGGACATTCACGTGGGGCCGATTGGCCATAGTGCCGTCTGCGATCGCGCAAGCTGGCCCCGTCAATCCTGCTCTCTCCCATGCGAATCCCATCCCGCACATGCATGCACCCCACATGGCCGGCAGGCCCGCGTCAACGTTATGACAGCACAAGAGCCACCCACCCGCGGCCGCCAGCGCCAGGAGCAGGGCGCAGACCATCCAGCATCGCTGCTGCTGCCGGTCCCCCGCAGCCATGAACACACCACAGCTGCTCCTCTCCAGCGGGCTGCTCCCCTACTGGGGCCGGAGCACCCCTTCTCGGAGCCTTGGCGGAACTGCGGCCGTTCTGATGCTCGCAAATCCACCTGGACAGCACGGCGCCGCGTACAGTGAGAGAGCTCCCGGGTGGCAGCCGTTGCTGCGACGGAAATTTCGCCGAATCGCTGCCAGCGCTCGATTCATGAGCCTGTCATCATGGCGGTTGACGTTGGCGCCTGCGCCTTCGCAAGCACCCGCGCCGGCGCCTTGGCGATATGCGTAACCGGGGTGGGCCACGGCGCCTCGACGGGATCGCGCGTGCGGGCATTCATTCGCGGGGGAGACACCCTGACGGGTCAGAGAAGCGCAATTCGGGAGCCGCAGGCGCCGCTCAAAGGGTGCCGACCCATTGCGGCGCGAACGGTTTTGGAACTGTCCGACTTTTAACAGCGACGGCGCCCGCACCGTATTTCCGAGTGCGGCTCGGGGCGCAGGGATGGCAGCGCGAGCATTGACGGGCCCCGCGCGTCTCCTCACCTGGCTGGCAGCAAAATTCGGGCCAACGGAGAGTCCAATTGGCGGGGAGGCTGCGAGTGGCGGGGGGTATTTCTCATGTGCCCCCCAAAAGGGTGAAGGTGATCACGCGAGTCAGACGTGGCGCGGTGTACGGCTGTCGTCGACAAGACGGCATTCCAACTTGGTTCGGGGTCCCCAGACGCTGTGTGAAGTTGATGAGATCGGAGGAATGAATCTCCCATCCAGTCTCCCACGCAACCAGAGTGTACCTCTTGTCACACAGGGCGTTACTGTGAAGCGTTACTGAAGCAACCGGTTTGGTCAGCAGCTATTGCCGGATGGCCCACGTGTGATTGGTCATTCAGTTTGTGAGTCACGGGCACTTTGTTGCTCAAAGGAGCAGAGACACAACCAAATTTGAAGAGTTGACAACAAAGAACTGAAAAAAATGAATGCGCGGTTACATTTCCAGTCATATGCTCGGATACCTCACAAATTGCACCTTTCGAAATATGCAAGGCACCGGGGGGGTCCGCTCTGGACAAGCCCTGTCCCAATCTCTTCAAATACAAACATCTGAGTATGCACACAGCAATCGCCAACCATAGACTTCAATTTCTTCGTTTCAAAACGTCTTCTTCTTCAGATTCTGTTGGTCGATCTGGTAGCGCAATGTGCAGATGCACATTCATGTGCATGCACGACTCCCGTTCTGCTCACGCCTCAAGTTCTTCTCCTATGCGTTCCTCGTCGATGCCCCTGAACGTGTGTGATTTTTCTCACGCACACCCTCCAGCTCCCGTGCACGAGCTCACTCGACCTCGCCCCCGCCGTCAAATCGTCCACCATTTCGTCGCCAGAATCGCGATGCTCGGCGCATTGTCGATCAAACGTTTGTGTCGCATTTGTCCGTCACAGATCTTGCCAGACATCGCCAGTTGCTGCTCTCCTTCGTTGACGCCGATCGTCCCCCTTCGTCGCGCTTTAGAGTCGTTGCTCCAACGCCGGCCCAGATTCAGAGTGACCTCTTCCTTGTCCTCGTCATTCCTCCGGCCGCCAGAGGCCCGTCCTGGGAATTCCAGTTTGACCCTACCACTACGGGAAAAGGGGGTGTCCGCGCAGTTTCCGAGCGCGTCGGAATCGTCCGAGCACGACCAAGCGCGTCCGAGCATTCTATTGGCCGTGTCCGAGGCACTAAGAAAAGCGTCCGGAGCGTCCGCGCATTACGAGGAATTGTCCGAGCGCTGAGACAAAAGCGTCCGAGCGTGTCCGGAGCGTCCGAGGGCGCGGAATCCGGCAAAAACGCGGACACTTTTTTCGTCCGCGCATCGCGCGGACGCATCGGGTGCTTTTCCCATGCGCTCGGACGCTTTCAGCGCGGACACTTCCCATCGTCCGTAGGGCGCGCGGACGCCGTCCGGGGAGCACGCGGACGGTGTGCGGGTGTGCACGGACGCTGTCCGGAGGGTGCAGGGACACCATCCGGGGAGCGCGCGGGCGCTGTCCGTGGAGTGGGTGGATTCAATGGCGACCGTTTAGGTTCTCTTCTTGGCGGGGCTGGCAGTTGTCCTCTCCCCCCACCCGCGTTTCTTGGTGCTGTGGTGTTGTGGTGGCGTATGGCTGTGGGTTGAGCGTGAGGGTGGCAATGATCCCCTACGCGATTGCTTTGCGTGTGGGGGTGCAAGTGGCCCCCACGCGGTTAGTCTTGTTGGTAGTGGCAGCCGGCAACACAAGGTGAGGGTCGGCGATCTTCCATCTATGGAGATCGCGGCACTTGGCGAGCCTGCGTGCAAAGCAAACAGAAACCATTACTTTTTCATCCATCAGAGCCTGCAAGCGCAGCACATACAAGTGCCAGTTCTTCACCATGCTGCTCCTCGACCGCCGGCGATCGAAGTTCCTGGGTGGCCTACGCATACAGCACACAGAAACTGTGAGTTCTTTAGGACACGGGCTCCTCCATCGCCGGCGATTCCCGCGCCTCGGCAGCCTGCAAACAATGCACACAGAAACTGTGAATTCTGCGTCCGCCGCCTCCTCAATTGTGGGCGATCGGGGCGCCTGCATGGCCTGCACTCAAAGCAGGCAAACCCATCAGCCCCTCGCAGCCTGTCCCATCCATTGCCTCGAAACGTCCTCCACGGGGCTGGCCTCCTCCACAAGGGTTATATCATCAGCGGCGCTGATCATGCGGTTCCACCCATCGTTCCGTATCGTCGCCCGTCCCGGACGGGCCCCTCGTTCGCCGCACTGCCTTCGCAAGGCGTATTGGGGCACTTTGGAGGGGGACAGCGCTGTGCACAACAACTTGACTTTAACTTGGCGGCCCCTCAGAGCTCTTGCCGTTGCGCGTACGCTGCTCAACCGTCCGAACGCGTGCGCGCAGCGCGCGGATGTGTCCGAGCGGGCCATTGAAAAGCCTTCCGAGGCCTCGGACGCTCTGGACGCGTCCGAGCGCCTTCGGACACTCTGGGAGTGTCCGGGGGACGCGCGGAACCGTCCGAGGCCTCGGAAGGCTTGTGAAACCACGCGGACGGGCCCCTTTTCCCATTGTGAACCTCTTGTCGCACCTTCCTGGACAGCGATCGAGGTCGCTAGACCGGGATACGGCACCCCACAAGCGTCCGGCGTTCTGCAACACGCTTAGGGAAGACACTATATCGATTTTGGTACGCTTGGCATCAAATTAACGCTGGAGGGGGGGGGGGGTCGCCCAGGCCCGTGACGCTAAGAGATTATGTACTTCCTGTAATTGCCACAAAATGAACATAAGGAAAGAAAGTTCCCAGGAACGCCACTGATAGACAGCAAACAAACCGTGACTTGTTCCTAAACCTCTTGCAAGTGTTCGATCGTCAAAGAAGGCTTTAGAATGGATTAGAATTGACTAATTTGCAGCCATTGAGGCTGCCCGCCTCACCTATAATGGCATTTAGAAATGCATTTTTCAATGCACTGAAATCAGCACGGGCAGCAGCACCCAGTGATGGCGCCCCTTGCTTGAAGTTGCTGTGGGAACCTGCCCTGGGTATGCTGAGGGCATCGGACAGAAACGAAAGGTGATGTAAGACCGTCGCTGAAACTGGATTAATACAACTTGTCTTACATATCGCAGCCGTGTTCGCAACAGGTCTCGTGGTCTGTGCGGTGCTGTGATGAGAGTCAACAGGCAAGCATGTTTGTTGACAAAATATGCTCGTTTACTTTATAAGAGAGCCATTGGCGCTGGACACGCGTGGCGTACGCTACGTTCAGGGCCCACGCATCAAAACCTGGTTCAAACCATTTGCCAACAGATTCTCCAATTTGTATGACCAGGACATCTGTTACTGGCTTCAGGCATACTCAAACTCGCCAATAAACTTATAGCGAGTTTGCCCGACATTACCGATCTGGTGAAAGGGCTTTGTTTTGTCGCATGACAAATGCAATCAGCACTAGCATTATATAATGCTGATCATCATTATCGCGCATGATAATGATGATCATGATCATGCTCATGTTCATTTTCACCTACTCAGGGACAGTGCCTCTGTTTCATATCACACTTGAGGAGCCATCACTTCATAAAACATCTTTCTAGACGCAGTTGTCAGGGGCTTGTCGTGCCCCATGTGCTTGCCAGAAACTGGCTCGCAGCTGAGCCCCAAATCACTTCAAACATTTCCTTTAGTCTAGTCTCCGGATACTGACCTGCCAAACCTGATTTATTGCCAAAGCAGGGGTGGCAGAATCGTAATCCATTCCAAGGCTATGACATTTGACCATGACCTTTTCCAATGGATGTAAACGTTACCAATGGTCACCCATTTCCATTCTATGTCTAATCTGACTATGTTTCCATAGCTTAGGGCAGCACTGCACCAAAGCTTTGCCTTGCCATAGCTGGTCTGTATCAGAACATCATCTAATCTATCCATGACACCTCCGCACACTCTCTTGCCGTGATCGCCTCAATTCTTTGAGAATTTGTCCCGCCTTTCCCCCCAGTTCTGCCTTTTCCTGCCCGCGTGGTTCAATGCACCAAATCATTCATCGGTGCTCTATTATGGATATGCACATCGTGAGTTTCTCATTTGTAGTTTTCGGCATGCTTTCTTGCTTGTTAGCATCGTTCATCAGCCGTCCTTATCAACTCCTGGCTGGTCTATGGTGTCGTGTCACCCAATCGCTCGTCATGTATCAGTCATACGTCACTCATTGAATGAAGCAGCAGCATGATTAAGGGCGAATTTCGCATCATTTACAACATCCACAATATCATTGTATGACGTTTTGGAATCAGAACATATTTTGGGCGACCTAGCACCATACTGCCTTCGTGCTACCTGCGGCTGTGATAGTGGGCAACGAACAAGGCGCTGTGGCTGTGCACGTCTTGTATTCATGACACTTGCAATGAGCAACCTGCTGCAAGCCTTGTTTTACAAACAGTATGTCCGCTGCGCTCACCAATTAAGAATAAATTCCGCTGCCATACTCGCCTTTCCAGCCGAATCGACACCAGATTGTCGCCGTGTAGCACGTCTGGCCACCAAGCCCGACAGCTTCACAGCACCGGAAGCTTCAGAGCCCTGAGCCCCGAGCCCTGAGACCCAAACTTTCGTGAGGCTAAGATGGGCTCCTGCTGGAGCACGAACAATCAAGAATGAGCAATCCCGTCGCCTGCCGTCTCAGGGAAACTCAGAATGCGGGGCGCTGAGGCTCGTGCATCCCAAGTCCGCCTGCATGCCGACGGCTCGAAGTTTCCTGCCACTCCGTCCGACAGTACTGCCAATGGCATCCAGGCAATTCGCGCCACACCGGCCTCCAGAGTTCCCTTGTCAGACGTCGTCGACAAAACTGTGCAGCTGAATCTGCAGCACCACGCCACATCCCCACCCCCCACCCCCACCCACCCTTGTGCAACTGTTCATCCCTCAACATAAATTCTTTGCCCCCCGATTCTGTTTGCCAGCCGCGCCTTCGACATTGGTTCAGTGGCATGCTCACGAAAGGGTCACATGCCGAGCGTGGTAGCCTACCCTACTATGCCTCTGGCCAACACCCACAACCAAAACACACATTGCAAACAATCTCAATGGAAGTGCATTCGTGCAAAAGAAGCTAAGACCCACAGATTGCCAGCTCTTCGAAGTCGTCTTCATCGCCGTCACAGGCCACGTCCCACCCCACAACGGCCTCAATGTGCTCGGCTTCGATGGGCGCCCCACCAGACAGGACCCTAGGGCCCTGTTCCGTGACGACGACGCCGTCCTCGATTCGCACCCCAAGGCCCCGAAATGCGCCAAAGCCGTCTTCGTCAGGAATGTAGAGCCCCGGCTGCAGGCCCAGGACCACACCTGGCTCCAGGGGCGACTCCCAAGGCACGTGCGTCGTGTCGTGGACGTCAATGCCCAGGTAGTGCCCTGCAGCAGGGGGAAAGCGCGCTCGTTGTTGGCAAGTGCAATTGGTGTCGTTGCCACCAACGAATTTCGGGCTTGTGGCCAGTCCCAAGAACCCATGGGCTTTGGACTTTCTTGCTTTGGATACCATTGAACATGCATTTTGCAGCCAACACACCACTGCTAGATATTCTGCAGTCTTGTGAACACTAATATTTGTAGACGACGACTTGGAGGGAAGCAGACAACAGAAAGGCTCTACTGTCGGAATGTTGCCATCGGACCTGAAGGGCCGTTTCCACATTAAACAAGCAGCGGCATACAAATCCATCCCACGCCCTGTGAACTTCCCTTACCAATCATGTGTGGGTAGAACTTCTTGTATGCTCCCTTCATCAACGTGCTGACTGATGCAGAGCCAATTCCCAGGCTGTGCAAGCCCTCACACAGTGTTTGGACTGACATGTGGTGCATCTGCATCAAGGACATCCCTGGCTGGCAGGCCAACAGGCAACAGCGATGCACTGCCCGCACAACCTCATACAAATCACGCTGGGGGCCTGAGAAGCGTCCAGTGGCAGGCCAGGTGCGCGTGACACCGCTGGCGTAGCCAAACAGTTCACACCCCGCATCCATGAGAATTAAATCCCTCTCCCTTACAGTCTACAACACCAGCACATGCAGCATACATGAGGTGAGCACATCAAGAGTTGCTGTGTGGGAATTTGCTCAGCCACAATTGATTTCTTTTCATCGCAAGCATCACCTGCCCAGCAACATTGGCAAGGGCGAGACACCCAATGGCACACAGCTGTTGTCGTGTCCTGTTCTTGCACCACATGCAAAATTTTGCCAGGTCAAACAACAAACAATGAAGTAAGCACATCAAGTGTACAGCATGGAAGAGCGAAAGGGACATGGCCATCTCACAGCCACAAGATTTGGGGGCACTGCACAGAACCCATGCATCTGCTAGGCCAGTGCGCAAAGCACTTGATATCAAACCTTTGTGTTCTGAAATATTATTGGTGTGGTCCCACAGTTTGGGCTCTCAACGATGGAATTTTGAAATTGTGTCCACATCCTGTGCTAGCAAATCCGAATCCAAACATTTCAATGCGACATACAGTGGAGCCACTGTGCAATGAATCAACAACAACCACCACATCAACGAGGCCCACAACCAGTCTCCAAGGCACGCAGGCAGCACCAGGACTTCTACATGTGTTCTGGTATTGGAAATCAAAAAAGGGAATAGACACTGCATCTGGTCCAACACAACTGCATCAAGGGCTGCTGAGGCAACTGACCTTGTCATTCCTTGAATAATGAATGGCACAACAGTCGGGTCCACTAGCGGCAATCGCAGGGTATGCCAAATTCTGTGCACCCCCAACTTTGCACAGATACTCTGCAACAACAATCAAAGAGGGTTATGCCCACTATGGCAAGGCACTGCATCAAGCATCTAATCTTCAAAGATCTCCATGGGGTTCAAAGAATTGCCTCTTTATCAAACAGGTTTACTGCACATTGCCATCCTCATTCCTCTGCTCTTCTTCTATTGTGATTGACATCGATCCATTCTCTTTGCCTTGCAACAGCAACTGGAAGGCAATGATTGGCAGTGATGGTGACAATGCGAGTGGATGAGGAAAACAGACTTCAGGCAGTCCATGTCAAAATCACAAGGCTGTACCACAATCACCTCACTGTGGCTACCCAACAGCACCAGGACAGAACAAGGCCCACAGAACATTACAGAGGGGGTTACCCTGGCTTGGGCATCATGCTGCATCTGGCGAACATTTGATCGCCCACCAATGCACGCCTAATCTTCCCTGTTATGTGCAAAGGCAAGGCTCTGACTTCATTTTTGTCTGAAACCATGCGACAATAGCGAAGGGCCTGCCCTCACCAAATGTGGCTGCAAGGGTCGCTTCCGCCACCCCCGGGCGGGAGATCTCCATGCAGCGCCGTAAGGCGCTTGCCGCAAGGCTGGCTGACCTGCCCAATAGCTGTATCTCAGCAGGGGACTTGCGCCAACGCAGGGCATGCACATAGGGCCCCAGGGGTTCCACCTGGCCCAGGGCCCTGGCTACCAGCATGGCCTTCACCTCCGCTACCAGGTCACGTGACTCTGGCTCCCTGTCCAGATCAAACAGCACAGCCGAGGCATCGCGCACAAGCTGGGGCAGCTTGTGGCTGAGCTGTGGCACACAAACCCATGAGTCGGCTGCCATGCCTGCTGCCAGGAAGCTATAGTGGCTGCTGGCAAGAGTGCTTGTGAAGCACTCATATTTAGCCTTGCTCAGACTCCAGACTTTATGCCATACTAAGCAGTACAGGCAGTATGCTTGTGAAGCACTCATATTTAGCCTTGCTCAGACTCCAGACTTTATGCCATACTAAGCAGTACAGGCAGTATGCACTGCGGGTCGCATCCTATTGGCTCTGAAGCATTCTGCCAAAAGCTGCAAACTAATTGTGTACTCAATATGCCAATTGATTCATTTGCACTTTCAGCAGAGAGCATACACGACTGTTAGGAAGTCTTGTCCAGCATTGCAACAGCCACACTGCCCAACACCATCGGCTCAACATGTGGGAAGCATGCTGTCCCACGGCTAGCTTACCAATGAGTTCTGCTCATTAAAACAATGATACAACGGGTAGAATGGGGCAAGCAAGGAGAAGAACAACTCCATATAACTATGCACAGACTTTGATTGACAGCAAAAATTTCGATTTCAATGTGAAGGAGCTAAACAAAGATGTCTATTCGTCTGATCCAACATTCCCTCGACTTGGCAATGAGACAACCGACCTTTACCCAGTTGAGTTCAGAGCTGTAGGTGCCCAATACAATGTGCTTCGTTGCAACAAATTCGGCCAATAAGCCAATGAAGGACGGAAAGCACACTCCACCATACATACCATGGCCATTGGAAAGGCTTCATGAGCGCCAAAACACTCGACTGCGGCACGGTGGTCCATTCGTTTCCCATCCCAACAGTCCCTCTGCCACATGCAAGCCCGCAGTTGGAACAATGGGGGAGGATGATAGTCAGTGCAGGGCAGGAAACAGGCTAGTGTAAGTTCTTGCCTGCAAGCAGCAGAATTCCTATGCAGTCGATCCATGCTTTGAAACGCACCTCACTTGGAGCTGGCACAAACAATGCAAAGAAGTGGTCTCCAGGATCTGCAGTACCGGAATGAGCAACAAATGATTTCCGTCAGGGACTTTAAAAGGATAGGACTTCAGGCAAACGTCAGTTCTGGATTTTCTGCTGAGCTTTGTTCAGAAAACAGGCAACACACCTTTGCTTGCAGACCCCAGCTGCTTTATGACAGCAACCGCTCGCTGTGTGACACCCGTCAAATATAGAAAGTTTGAGTCCTGCCAAAATGTAACCACAGAAACATCACAATCAGGCACTTGAATCTGTGGTGCTCTGGAAACAGAACTGATGCATAAAGCCCTTGGTGTTTGATCGACTTTGTACTGCTGCTTTCCCCAAAGCAAATCATGCATTCTGCACCATAACTAACAGTACAGCAACGATCCTTTGACGATTTCAAAGGGTAATGCCTGTGTGCCATCTGCACCTGCCATTTGAGAGCTTTTCATCAGCTTTTTTCCATACAACATAGAAGCACTTTCACTCAAGAGCAGGTGACAATACACAACATCGAACCTTCATGCTCACCATGCTCATCATTGGCATTTGCTAGGACTTAAACTGGAATTGGATGGGCGTGCTCATAATCCTGATGATGAACAAACACCCCTAGGCCAGGGCATCCATTGGGAATTCTTGGACAAAGATGTAGGGAAGTAAATGTAAGGAATTCTTTGACACAACCATGAAGATCTCTTGACAAAATTTGTGACATGAGACAAACCGCCCACAGAAAATTTGGCCGTAATGGGCACATGAAACCTCCACATTGTTTGTTGCCATACTATCATGTCTACCCATACCAACAGCGTAATATTCCAGTTTCCAATGTCTGCGAAAAGGCACGACTCCAACCCACAAATCTGCTGTGACAGTAGCATCCAAAGTGCAGAACATCTGGCAATTATCTGCTTTGTGTTGCTGCAATTCAAAAATCGCAACGGCCATAAAGAAACTGTCTAACTTGCATTGCTGTGCAGCAGAACAGGCTGCTAGCTGTCGGTTTCAATGCCTACTGGGATTGCTCCTGACTATTCCACCCAGTAGCAAAGAGCCACATAACATGGAAAATGCATATTGCCTTGGATGGGCAGCTGTGCTTGGACGCCGACAGCACTGACCCAACTTTGAAGAAAACAACAACCAGAAACATAAGCCACAGTGTCCCGCAATGGGACACTGCACTGATGGGAACATTGCGACTATCTTCTGGCCATCCATGCTGTCCCATGTTGCTATCCACCTGCCAATCATATCGCAACAGGACACTTTGGCTGTTCTTCTGCAGCATTGAAAATTGTGCCAAAATTTTCCAGCCGGTATGGGTTTTGATACTTGCCCGACACTCTTCCCTGTCAGTCGCAGAGAGAAGCTTCACCTGTCTAGACGGTGACTTGAGGCCAACCATCGCGCTTTCGCCGGTGGAAGAGAGCACGGCGACCGACCGCGGCGGCATCTTCGCCGCCAGCCTCCTCCTCCGCTGGGCGAACTCCCAGGCCCCGAGACCAGGCGCGAGTTCCCCAACCGCCAGCACCTGATCAGCAAACACAATCCCACGAGTCAATCCCCAGCCCACTTTCGAGACGCACGCGCCCACGGCAACTCAACAATGCGACCGCTTTTGGCTAGACCTGGACTTCGCCCGACTTGGCGCCGAACACCAGGCACTGGGCTTCAGATTCCCGAGACGCAGTCAGCTGCTCGATTTCGACGCATATTGCCCAGTCTTCAGACAACCAGGTACATCCAGCCTTGTCCAGACATCCAGGCATCAGACATCCAGGATCATCCACATTTCTGATATCCACGCTTCGCGCACCAGCTGCTGAAAGACGCCAAGGGACGCTGGCGTACGCAGCCGCGCCGCAGGCGCGCATTTTCCCCATTCTCCATCGCAGCGCCCACCGGCTTCGCACCACTGTCCGAGCGCCCCAGGCCCTTCAGGCGCGATCAGAGACCGCCGCGCCACGACATCCGGGTGCCCACCTCCGGGTGCGTGTCGTGGATCGGCTGGCCGGCCACCAGGCCCCGCCGCCAGCACCGGCTCCAGTCCCGGCCCCCGGGGCGCCCGCCGCATCTCCGCAACAGGCCCGACAGCATCCGGCGACTCAAGCTCCACACGAGGCCCTCCCGTGGGCGGCGTCTCCGGCGGGTGGATCCCACAAACACCCAGGCCCGTCGGCATTCATTCTCCGCGGCCCCGACGCCGGCCCGATCGGGTTGCGCGAGCCCGGGAACGACGCCGGAACGCCCCCGGACGGATGCGGACGCCCGCAGCCCTCCCTGCGCCGAAGACGGGCAAGCCGGCGAGTCACGGGTGGGAAGGCGGCGCGCGAGCGGAGCTGCGAGGTGTCCGTGGGAGCGTGGCGCCTCTGACGGCTCCCGACCGGGGCTGGCCAGGCTGCCCTGGGCCGTCGGCGCGGCTTTATGTATGCGTGAGGACGATTCGCCTGCCAGGTTGTCAGGGCCCCCGAGGGGGAAGGACCGCCGCGCAGTGGGCGGACCTTCTCTTTGGCTGCTGTTACTAAAGCGCCCTTCGACGGCGCTTGGACCCGGAGGCGGCTTCCGCGGGGCGATTCGAGGGGTCCGGGACGATTTTGCGGGATCCCAACCTCCTTCCTTCAACCTTCCGCCATGTTGTTTTCCGCTTCCTCAAGAGGGGCTGGTCCCGTAACCTCCGCAACCGGGACGCTCGCAGGTGGGTTGCTTTCCCGATTACTAATTGGGGAAGCGATGGTTAATTGAAATCGGGCCGATTCGCACTGTTCCATCTTTTGATAAGGCGGCGAGAATCGTGCAAAACTGAGACGACGTCTACTGCACACCCTGTACTCCATATGGAACATCCATATCGATGCATCGAGGCAGTGCAAACTCAGTGTTGGTCGTCCAACGACGGCGGACGGGGTACCAACTTGGGCCTTGCATTCCCTGTATATTCGTGGACCGTACGGCTACGGCAGGAACATATGCACCGAAAGTACACCGTACACAGACGTCTGAAAGGAAGCATAGCGGCGACAGGGCGTCGATGCATGGCTGCCGCCTTGGCGGGGGAAAGAAAGGCGCACAGTGATAGCCAAGCCTCCCCTTCATCACATTGCAGATGCGCCGGCGTTTCAACACAAAGTCACAGGCAAATTTTTGGCTTGAATTTTTACTAACAAGGCGAAGCGGGGACCTTGCACCTTGCAGGCGATGGCGGGCATGAACGAAACCAAAGCGTATACATCTCACCAACACTAGTTGCGTATCTGGAAGCGTCGCCCTGGCGCTCCTGTTGATGCTGCAAACATCACAGATCGCACAAATTTTGTATGATTGGATTTCAAATGCAAGAATCCCACGCTTTTCGGTGCAGCTCAGTTGACCGGGATACATGTTTCGTTAAATAGTGGAAAAATACCAACTGAAAAACAGAAATGAGGAATTATAGTGCGGTTAAATAACGCATGCGCTCTGTGTGTGAAACACTTAATGCGACGAGGTGCAACGAAAGAGGAATACAACTGTTATTTAAGCAGGCAATTGTTGTTTAATTACATTCGTGCCCAACAGCTCAAAGCTCCTTATCAGCAGGTTTTTACACCATTATTGGATACCGCAACAAAATTTTGAACACTGCGAAAGTTAGCAAATATTCACAGCCCAGAAAAAATCCGAAAACTAACCTAAATCCATGCTTCCAATTTCTCAGTCTTGATGGCTCGTTGGTTGGCACAGTTTAAAACCCGTTTGGCGCAAGAGCGGTTCTGCACGTCGCACGCTCCCCGCAAACCGCCACGCTCGTTCCAAGCAAACTACCGCGGCCCATGACGTAAAGCGCCGTCCGCCCCACAACGGCCGCCAACAAGCAACCCCCGCTGCCTCGCCACCTGCGCCCCTCCGCAGCTGCCGTCCACTTCCCCTGTAGCAAACTTCCCCTCTGGCGGCAATCCCCCGCTGGGCGGCCACAGCTGACCCGTGCGGCAGCCGAAGGGGCGCGGCCCCAATGCACCGTTCGCCCGCCCGAAGCCCGGGCGCCCTTTGCTGGGTAGTGCCACGGGAGGCCAGAACAATGCACAGCCTAACAGCCTCGGAGTTTCGAGCCGAGGCGCTGAGGGGACTGGGAAGAGGGGCGTCGCTGTCGGCAGGGACCGCGCCGCTGCCCTGGCGGGTGGGGAGAAGGAGGGCCGCTGGGCAGTGCGTCGCCCTCTTTGAGAGCGGGACGTACACCGTAAAGGTGGGGGGCCCGGCGCTTTATGGGGTGCCTTTGAAGGGGGCAGCTAGCCTGGGAGGTGAGAAAGCAGCGGGTGCGTTTTCAGTGGGTGTGGAGGCAGCGAGAGGTGGGGAAGTTTGGGGGACAGGCGGGGAGTTGGTGGGGTGCTTGTGGGGTGCGGGGGCGGGTCGGTTGGCGCTGAGGTGCTGGAGCGGACGGTTGCTTTGTGGTGGAATTGGAATGCCGTTGGGCGTCACGGGGCCAGGCGCGGGTGTCTCTGTGGATGACACCCACTGGATGTTGGGGAGCGCAAGGTACCGTCCGTGCGGTGAAGACCAATGGCGTGGACCGCGCCAGGGGGGGAAGGGGGGAAGGGGCAATATTGTATTTGAAAATCTCGCTGCAGCTGCCATGGAATGGCAATGCGCCAGTGGTAGGGACTTATGTGCAACATCATCATTGAAGCTGCATAGAAACTGGCATAGTGTTCTCCTCCAACCTACGACACTGCGAAGTAAAGTACGCATGAGCATCTATCTCTGATGACACTGGGAGAACTCATTCGCACAATTGCGCATTTTCCTTCACTCCGCATGTCAAAATAATGTGCCTTTTTGAAGCAGTAGTCCAATTTGTTCATATCATCCATTATGGTTTCGAAATTGTCTTGACACCAACATGAGCGCACGATTAGCAAATGATGTTTCCATCGCTCTCGCAGGCAGGAGACACAATAAATATCATAGCCCGGAAGCTGGGAGTATCAGTGCGCGATCTTAAGGTGAGTCTTTCTGGATCAATTCGGAACCCAATGAATTACGTTGAGTGATTGAAACGTCCTCTGCACAAGAGAATTGGGTACACGCCTGTATGCAAAATATTTGCCGTGCATGCCGCTTCACGTAATTGACCCCCATTTAGCAATATCATTTACTAAAAGGGGATTTAGGCAGTGTGGGGCTAAGGCTCATGAATGCTAAGCTCACATTGGCGATTTATTCGCAGGCAATGGAAAGCGCATGCCTGCAACAGCCATTACCATGGACATTCGGGTCATTGTCTGTAAGCAATGAAAATTGATGGAAGGGATCGGATAGCATGAACGAGCGTCATCCAAGGATGCGATACTTCAGGCACCTTGTGGAGGGAAATCGTACCATCGAATACAACCGGTACCGTACCTTTTGATACAAAACAGAATTTTTGCAAACAGGAATCCAACAGGTCGATGCTCTACGACCGATCCAAGAAAAGTCTCAGAAACGGAAAAAGGGTTCTGCATAGGTCGGATATCATCTACCCGGGGCAGAAGCTGACCATACCGAGGCTCTCTGAGAGAAACAGGTGATGAATCTACAAGTGATCGCCTCTCGACATGCGTGCATAATCAACTTTTTGCTGGCGTCGTCCCTCTTATGCGCTCCCTTCGCCAGTTGTAGGAATAAAGCAAATAATTCAGATAATTTTCTTTGGTCAACTATCATTCATAATTTCAACCGGAAACAATCATTGTATATTATTAGCTACATCCACCAATTGTCGCATTTTCTATGTGCTAGCAAGTAAGTTAAAGCATAAATCAGGCTTAGTCTTAACTTTACGGCTCCATTTTTGCGTTATGTTTTTACACGTCAAGATGCGTAAATAGATGAGCGACCATTTCTACGGCCGCATTTACACATATTTGTGGCTCATTAGCACGCCCATATTGCACGATGGTGTCCCAATCAACGATCAATCTTCCACTCACTCCAGCACCGGCAACGCAGCGCCCACCTCTCGCCCTCAGCAAGGGCAACCAGGTCGGCGAACAAAAGATCTTGTAATGCATATTCGACGCATCAAGTTTCCACTGCCCAGACTCGCTGAGTCTGTATGTACTGTCTCTAAGTACACAGGTCCACTTTTTGGTATTTTACGGCTATTTACGCGACAAAACGTTAAAAAATACGCATGAAGAGCGGTAAATAGAATAGTGTTTACACCGCAGATACCAAGCCTGGAATAAGATGTTCCCCTAATCGCTTTTCAACTGCAATATTCACACTTTTGAATTGCCTCCCTATGCTTCACCTTGTTGACGAACTTAAAGAAGATGCTTTTTTCTCTTCTTTAAGTTATGCGCATTTCCAGGCAGCGGGACTGCACATTAATGTTCAAGGAAAACATCCTCCAGGTTGAAAATGAGAAAAAGGTTGATCGAATACAGCAATGCAATCTGCACCAGCCACAGCCTAAACATCAATTGTTGAGCACTAAACATCGCCAGAGATGATTGGCGCGAACCAGATGAATCCTTGCCCTTAACAAACCATGTAACTAAGAATCCATCCTGTGCATTGGTAAAATGCCGGTTCCGTTTCTTCGGAAAGAGCGCACGAGAAGCATCGCACTGACGCACCCTGCGGCCAGCATTTTGATGTGCCGAGTCTCAAAGGCCGAAGTAGATCAATCCTCAGTACGCCCTCACGGCAGAGCTGGTTCCTCAATTCGACATGATGAGTCTTTGCGCTGGCATGGCAGAAAACAGACAAGCGTGGTTGCCCTGGCGGGACCGGGCCCCTTCTCAGGCTCCCGCGGCACCGTTGGGATCGGCACTGGTGCTCTCATAGGCGCCGGTGTGTGCATCCTTGCGGCCGGTGTGGTGTATGCTGCACGTTCAGTGGTGAGAACCTTCGATTTCAACCACGTTCGCCTTGTTAGTGTTGATCACAAGAGCGGCTGGGGTGACAAAATTTGAGGTCCCCGGACTTTTCAACGCGCACCAGTATTCTTTTTATTCCATTCATGAGCCGCATGTGCTATAACTGGTTCAAATTTACTGGAAAACAAGCGCTCAAGAGGAATGCAAATGTTTCATATCAGTTCAGTCTCCAAGTGCAATCCAAGCGCTTTGGAAAGAGTGGATGTTGAAATGGATATGTAGAGCCGAGGGCACAGAAGTTTTGATTACTCCACCATCTCACCGATGCACCAGGGAACTTCGTACAGGGCTTTGATCCACTGGGCTGGTGGTGAATTGCAGGGGAACTCTACTGCAAATTACAGAAGCACCTCAGCAAGGAATGTGGCAATTTGGTGTCAAAGCGCTTTAAGGCGTTGCAGAAGCACGGCAGTGGTCGCGCTGCAGAGAGCCGCAGAGGCGCCGGCCAAGGCAGGGAGGCTTCTCGAGGCACGTTCAGTTGGTATCTAGTTATTGTCCTTCTAAAGTACTAGCCTGGTTGGGAGTGTTACAGAAGCAAAAATGCAAAGTACGCATCAGTGTATGCGATATCATCAATGTAATTTAACGAATATCAGTCATGTAAGACTATCAGATTGAGATTACGATATTTGGAGGTGCAAGTTTTCCAAAACTTCGCAATTTCATTCAACCAACCAAATCGAAAGCGGCAATCTGTGCATGTTACCCATCGTGCATCTCTTGGTCCAAGAGAATCACATACCACATTTTGTGTGGAGGCTGTCTAGAGCCGTTAGAGCCATATATTATAGCCAATACAGCCGATACAGGTATTCCTCAATTCGCACATTACATGCGAAGATTAGCGGTCCGAGACCACCTCAGTACCGACTTTCCCTTATCCCAGTTGTGGGACGAGCATTCCACTGTGAATTCAAGGAGCCCTGCTTGAGGTCACAGCCCTAGCTATTGTGGATTCCGTAGTTGCTGCTGCGCGTATTGCTGCAGGAGCTGCCGCTAATCTAGCTGCGAAAAATGGAGTTCCAATGGCCATTTTGATCCAAGGAATGTTGCGGCAGATTCGACAATGTTGGGCTGTGTAATTTCGCAAATTAAACCCGCACGCTTTTTGCGTGCGCTGCAATTGTGCGAATACGCGCACGAGCTATTCACGCTGTGCGAGCAATCATCCGTGGCTTCCGTCGCCCTTTCAAATTTCAGATATCCTTGGAGGCCGTGGCAGAAGCAATGGAAACATTCGCGCAGCAATTTCTCAAGCATTCAGCAGAATGGATTCCACAAGCTCCGAGTTCCCCATATCATTGGTGGGTTGCTGCAACGGGGCAAACTGAATGTGGGCGCCGACTGTCTGAATTGGCCATATTTTTGTAACCATGGTCAATGGCCATTGCTGGACGCAGAAATTGCTGTGATTGTCGCTACTCAGCAATGACAAGGCAGAACTCTTTCCTCTGAAAGGTGACATCGGGCATGAGTTCGACTGCAGATAGTCCAAAACGTAACCGCCATAAGTGCCAAGGCGCAAGTGGCCACATGCTTGAGTGCTTTCATTGCCTTCCCGAGCCTAAAGAATCGCCAGTGGTGACCCTTGCCTGGGCACATGAAAGGCCCTGAACAGGCCAGCTCGGACTTCTTGCCCCACACTGCACACAGATCCTCTGATACTCAGGATCGCCACCAGCAAAAGGTTTCGCCGAATGCGATTGAGTCGGCATTGGAAGAACTCATGCAGTACAGTTGGCGCTGACAGACTCTTTGGAATCATCAAAATTATGGCAATTTATCTTGTTTTTGGGTGCCCGCAAATGCTGCCCATTTGCGAGGAGGGCCGTGGCCTTGCGGCGGACGGTCCCTAGACAACAATGCGAGTTTGTATTAATTTGGTCATTTTTTTAGCTGCCCTCACCGCTTGCGCCACACACGGTGTGTGCGACTTGTCAAGTGGGAGCGGGAAAGAAGAGAGAACGACGAAAACGAAAGCCCATTTCCCAAAACCAACAGAAGTCTGACCGCTGAATAAGTGTGCCCCCACGAAACGCCTCAGTCCCATGGTGAATGGTGGCGCGTAGGCGGGTCTGTTCGCTGGCGCCCAGACCAGACGAGCGGCCAGCGAAGCGCTCTTAATGGATATCCTGGATGCGGTGAGGGACACAAAAGCCGGCACTGCAGCCGATGCGGGCCAGCGAAACCGAATTCTGGATGCCATCGAAGGACTGGAGCAGTGCGCCCAGAGAATGTCGGAATCCAAGGTGACGACGGCCGTTGATTGTGCGTTGGTTGTTCGCATTCATGTGCGCAGCAAATCTTTGTGGAGATTTCGGGCATCCTTGATGTGCATGAGGGCACCGCATGCAGAGCAACTCCCTCGACTGGGCGCCTTTTGGCACCAGAGTGCGGGGTGGCACACAACTGACAGGATGGCAGCCCAGAACTTGTTTGCCTCTGCAGCATCGCACATAGGTTGACTGCCTCTAGCTGTTGTGCAGCATGCATGGCTGCAAACCGCAAGCGCAAAAGCGACATTATTGCCGACACAATATCACAGGAAGGCCAGACGGTGTTTTCCCGCGCACCGTTGCCGATTCTCCGACAAACGAACCCAAGGTGGCTGGCCTATGCGTGGCCTTGGTGATCGCTGCAGGCGTTGCGTCTGATGTCGGGCAGCTGGAAATTGCTCTTCACCTCGGATCGGTACACGACCACCATCCTGGGAGTTTTGAACAACACTCCGCTCGTGAACGTCCATGACGTTGTGCAAGTCATTGATGTGGACAAGAAAACGGTATACAGCAAGGCAAGTAGTGGCGCACGGTGTGGGCGACATCCTTGAGGCTGCAGTGCACCACATTTAGCACTTTTGTGTGGGCCCTCCCATGGGAATGGTACAATGGCGCCGTGGCACATTCCCAGGCTTCCAGCGTTTGGATTGACAAGATGGCACAGCGACATTGACGGAGCAGAGTTATGATACTATATACAGCGTCCTGCATTCCTTTCGCTGTCTGCTAACAATGCACCTTGATGGTCAATTCACCACGATGGTGAATGAAGAAATCTTCCTCTCCTTATACAGATGCGCAATGTCTCTCGTCTCTTGATACAAGTGCACCTGTGGTGGCCACCGTGAATTGCACTGGAGCTAGAAGTGATTTCATAGAAGGCATGGGGCTGCTTGAGACAGGTGGAGACAAGGAGGCTGTCGCAGTACAAGCGTCACCACACCATCCGACAAGCAGACGGCCCTACAATTGGTCGTAATTGGCTGTGGGGAGCTGGGGACATTGGCCGTTGTTTCCCAGCGTGCGAAACACAACTGGCATCCTATCCCAAACAAAACCTGCGGGGCACACTTCTCCTCTGCACGCCACACGTCTTGGCCTCCCAGGGGCACTGAGGAAAGCACGTTGAGCTGAGATGGCTGCCGGTCCTTTGCGGCGCAGATGGAAGTCTCCCTGCCGTTCGTGAAGTCACCCTCTTCGGACACAGGCGTGGACCTGAAGACGTCCCAGGAGCAGGAGCTGCGCTGGGAGCCACAGCCCCAGCGGCGGCCTGGCGCCAAGTCCATCGCCAAGGTCCGTTTTTTCCTGCCCCAGATGCTCACCAGCCTGCAGGTGCCCGACACGCTGACGATGATGGGGCGGGATGTGGACCTCACGCCGGTGCTGAACGCTGTGCGCCCCATCGGCTCCACTGTGACCAGCGGCGTCGGTGCGGGCATAGGCAGGGCCCAGTCGGTGGTGTCCAGTGTGCAGAAGATTCTGCCCAATGGGGACGGGGGCAACGGCCTGATGCAGATGCTGCCCAACAGGTCCAGCCTGGACGGCCTGGCGCGGCTGCTGTCAGAGAAGTGGCTGGACGTTACTTACCTGGATGGGTCTGTGCAGATCTGCAGGGATGACTTTGGGAGTGTGTATGTCTTGCAGAAGGCCCCAGGGGAGGGGTGAATGCAGAAACACGTTTTTGCTGGGCACAAGCAGACAGGCAGTAGAGGGACTTCTTAACAACAATGTTGCAGGCAAGACAGTCCACAGCAGAAGCATGTGCAGCTTTCCTGCCCAAAACCACTGCCTGTCTGTTCCATCCTCCACTTTGCAGGAGAGGTCTGGGCTCAGCCATTTTCAGGATGAACAAGATTGATGCTGTGGCAGGTTGTTGCGATCGAGACAGCAGAGCATAGACAGCCATCCAGGCATTTGTTGCAAACAATTGCAAGCGCTCGGACAACAAAAGGTGCCTCCAATCAACCTCATCCCTAATGGCGTTCTCCATGTAGTACATCAGCCACAATCCTCTCAGTTCCTAACCGGAGAGGTGCCATCACCTGCCCATCTTCTTTTTCTTTTTTGAGGCCATCCCCTTTGTGCCCAGATCCCCTCCTCGCTCATGGCTGGCATGCCGTTGGGGCATATCGTTTCTCTTCTCCCCTTTTCCAGGTGGCTTTGAACCCTTCTTCTTCCCTACTCTGACGGCTTTCGCGTGGGGCACCCCACCTTCACTGCTGTGCGATTTCCCTTTGGATATGGTAATAGGGACAGCGCCTGCCATTGCCTCACAGTCATTCTCCAGGTCACTGGCCTCGTCCATCTGGCACCCATCCTCTTCCAACTCCAGGTCACTCAGATCCAGGCATTCATCGTTAGTTATCATCGCATCATCACGCTTGGCACCAGCACTAGGAACTGATGCACCACCATCGCCTTGCAGCCTCCTCTTCTTGCCAGGAGGTGCAGCCACATCTTTGAACCCACTGTAGTGGTAGTCGATCCCCATCTCCAGAATGCGCTTCTGTCTGTGCGCATCCTTTGCGATCAGCTTCTTCACCTGAGCTGCTTGCTCATCTTCGCTGCGCTCCCGGTTATGCGCCTCCTGAGCCCTCTTTGTGTGGCCCCGGCGGCGATTATGCATCTTCTTCCTCCACTTGAAGAACATCCTCTTGTGGAGTTCCTGGTGCTTCAGCACCTGGCACACCAGCTTGTTGCCAAACATGAAGTAGCCGTCCATCGTCTGTGCTGCGACCCTTGCCACTTCGGGGTACTTGAACTCGATGAATGCGTACCCACGCGAACGGCCGGTCTTCGGATTTCGAGACAGGCGCAGCCGCAGCAATGACCCAAACTGTGAGAAGTAACCTGGTCATACATTGGGGTTGAAATCAGAATGCTGCTGCACAGCGGCTCCCACAACCTGCTTTTCCTGCTCACTTTACAGCGGCGAGTGGACTAGAAGAGCAGTGCAAAATCGTCAAACATTATGGGATGCTTGCCCGCATTCAGGAACCACGCAAAGGGGGATCAAAGGTGCTTGGGATGGCCTTGTGGGTTCAAGGGACTCGTTGTGTCCATTGAACACTTGCACGGACGAATTCTGCTACTTACTGGCCAGCTCCTCCTCGAAAAAGCCATAGGGGAGGTGCCTGCAAAGCCAGCGCAACGCTCTTCAGCGCAGCATTGCATGCCTTTCAGTCAACAGCAGATTCCCTTTCATTGCCCTGGTGTGGGTTGGCGCGGGGTGGGTGGCGGGGCGCCGACGCGCGTGGTCCGTTGACAATCAACGGAGAACAACTCACAGCTGTGCATCGCACACAAAAAGTTCAAGGCAGGGGGCCCTGCGATGGGAATTGCAAGAGCGCCGCCGTCGTTACAGCGCTGCCGTGTCCGCGCGGCTCCGCTCCCAGGTAGCCGCGGGGCAGCGCCGCCCAGCGCAGAATGCGCCCCAGGTCGTGTCTCGTGTCTCCCAACGCTTGCAGCCAGCCAAGGCCGCCAGACGCGCCGGCATCAGGTTCGCGCAGCCCAACCCGCAACTGCACCGGGGCGCCGCACGGCCAGCGGCGATCCTTGGCGTCCGGCCGCAGACCCACCCTATGTACATGACGCCGCTGAGTTCGCTCTCTGCATCGTCGGCGGCCGCCTGCTGCTCGACTGCGCTCGCCGCCATGGCGCCTTTCCTCTGAGGTGGCGACTGCTTTCCGGTCTGGGTCGCTGGACAAGTTGACCCGGTCGCCGCGGGGCTCAACCCGAGGCCCGTTTAGTCAGCAATACCGCTTTCCAAATCTCGTTCAAGGACTCCTCAACACTCGTTTCTCCCATTTTTTTCTCACTGGTCCTGAGCCGTAAAGTACTGAACTGGCAGGGGCTGTTCTTCAATTCATCCGCCAAAAGTAGCGAACAAACGGAAGAAAGAATGTATGCTTGAAGGGAAAGTGAAAGTGTGCGGCATACTGGTGATGTCACGTGTCTCTACTGAACCCAAGGCACCGAGCCAGCTGGCTTGTCATAGAACCTCCCAAAGCGCCGGGCGAGCGCTGCGCTAGCGCCCTGTGGCTGCTGCGATGTTGTATTAAACTTGCGCAAGCTTGTACCGGTGCATGTTTCCTTGCGTTGCTGCATGGCAGAGATCTTGCAGTGGCTACACAACAACTGCAGGTGATACTGTCCATGGTGTGTCCAAGCGTACAGAATAATCATATGATTTCTGTTCGTCACGTCATATTGTACTGCGGCTGCTTGGTTTTCATGCCCATCATCGCCCATCAGGTGCATGCGCTGTGTTTTGTCATCTCCTGACAAAGGCAATCGATAGATTTGCGCTACAGCTATGGCAGTAATACTACCGATCTCTCATGAAGTGAATCTACGACCGACTCAATCCCGTCAGTCGCAAGGTATGAGACATATTTCGCACAGAGCAGCTGTTTTAGAGTTGATGCGAAACTGCTCGTTTTGCACAAACCGCACCCAACCATGTCTCGCATACCTCATGCGTGGTACAAACGATTAATGCTTGTGACTTTGAAGGTGTCACACCGGGCAAGGGTTGCAATTCAACGTGCAAACAGAAACTCAGTGCACCGCGCTCAGGCATCCATGCAGGCACTTGCCAGTGCAGCTCAAGCATCGAAAACACCAAGCAACATTTTTAGAAGTGCTTAGGACAAACCTGGGAACATATGATCATCCGAAAACAACCGTGGGTTTGCAGCTGGGTGCATTGATGCTCAAAACCTACACTCCTGTCTGCGCACGAACACGTATCACCAACACCAGCAAACTGCCAAACTTGCCAGAATTGCAAAGGCTCATTGGCTGTGCCCGGGCATCTGACGGCTTTGCATATGCGCACTGCGCTCATGCACAAATTTCTCATCAACATTTGAGCATCATGCACGCATCACCCATGCCATATCATCTACGAGAATCTGCAAGGGCACCACCGTCTCTTGGGAATAAGACGCCATTTTCATGGCCTGAAACGTTCACCGCGTCTTGCTCTGAACGTACGACCGAGGTTATTGTATCAACGCCAATGCTCAACGCTAGCACCGGATCGATCCGTGCAGGCACTGACGGTACAGTCTATGGTGCAAAAGGTGCACAACCCGTGGAATTGCCAAGTGGGCTCCAAGCGCCCAAAGTCTCCGTCCCACATGGCTCACAGGTCCTCCTTAGCGTGCATGCTCTCCATGACGCAACCCCAGCACTGTGTGCATTGATCGCGGAACTTGCCGCGTCAGGGTGACGTCACCCAAGTGGCTCTGATGCATGTTGACATCGACAACGTTGCTGATTCATCTGCCGTAGACAGGAACAGAGCCGCCTTTTGCACAACTCAACGATCGTGCAATATTCGCTGTCCCAAATGAAGTTCGCAAGATTTGCCCGTTCGCTTTGCCCTTTCTTGTTATTTAACGCAGTGATACTGTGACGGTGCAGAAAATCAGAACGCTGCGTTATTGGAGAATGTGCGACAGAGATATGCACCTTGGCGAATAGCCATTTGTTGGAAAGGGAGACAATAACATGGCGAGCCGGTAGGGTTCGGCTCGCACTACATTGTGTCTGCATATTTGGGATTCACTTTCCAGCAACACCTCCGGCTGGAAGCTCCTCGCGTCTGGGGGACTTGTCACACGGATGGATGCTGCACAGAAGCGTAACGTAACAGTTACTGGGGCCACTAGATTCTTCACAAATTATTATTCATACAGATCAGAGCCTCGAATAACAAATGAACTGCAGATAAAAGAGGGAGGAGGCTGGTGGTTTGGAGAAGGTATGTGAAACATGCTACGTGCAACAGTAAAGTGATTGCATTTGTGGTGGAATAGCAGGCTGGTAAGGAGTCGTGCACAGAATGGAAATATCCCAATGGGTTGCATATCGCACGCTAGTGTGTGCTTCTTGGAGCGGACGATTTCCCAAGTACCTATAACTGTTCAGCGAATGTTCCGCATTTCGAACCGGTGGTTGACGCATGCATGCAACAGAAAACATCGTCGAAGTTTTTGCTCCGCCCAAGGGAAGACACTATTTTGGTTTTGTTATGCTTAGTGTCAAATTGACGGTGGGGGGGTGGGGGCAGCCATTGACGCTAAGAGGTTATGTTACTGCACCAATATCAAAATAAGATGGGAAGATGCACAAAAACGCCGCTGATCAGTGGCAAATAGCTCATGAACTGTTGCGAACCTCCCTCAAATTTTCAATCATCGAGGAAGTACTTAGAATGTAGCAGTTTTTAGGCTTTGGGGCTGCTCCCACTGCCTGTCATGACTTTTGGCGTCCCAGTTTTCTAATCACCACAATCGCTACAGTTTTGGCTCCTTTTTTCCCTTAAAACTGTTGTAAGCTTGTGTGGTATTGTTGGGTCCTGTTGATGAGTCATCCTGCCATCAAAATAAGGATTGACGCGGGGGTTGGGGTGGGGGTGGGGGTGGGGTGGGGTAGGGTGGGGGTGGGAGGTAGAACACTTTCCCCCCCGCACGTTAATCCTTATTTTCAGAGACGTCTCTGGGCTTAACGACAATTTGACGCTAAGCGTACAAATACCAAAGTAATGTCTTCCCTTAGTGCGCTGTTTCGTATATCATGCGCATATGCTCAGGAGTGCAATATCCCTCTGTGCAGCATGGTTGCTCATAAGAAATCGATGGAACTTGCGCATCTCCCAAAAGCACAAATGCGAATTGTGCAAATACGGCCGTTAGAATCTGCAAGAAACAGAAAAAAACACTTCAAACTTGAAACATCTGGCGCCAATACTTGAGAAGCGTAGTATTAGAAGTTGCATATTAGGAGGTAGTTGTGAACATTCGCAACTCGACTGAACATCTTCAAAACTCCGCTCATTCACCCCTGAGAAAAACTGTCCGTTGGCACAGAGGACATCTTCGCTGCACGAGAATCCATGTGCACACAAGCCCCAGGCACTAGTCCTCCCCGCCAGTATGGTACATCGTACTACAAGGGTGCAAACGGACACACCGGTGCTACCATTGTGTAGCATATGTGCAAGAATGTCTGTCGACTGCCCAGATGAATTACGCCACAAGAACGCCTGCAGAGCTGGCATCAGCACCGCTGGAAAAATTGAGTTGAGCGATCAATTCTTACCCTGTCCCCACACCCAGCCACCAGAGAGGTGAAAATTCGCTGCACCCCATGGTCGCACACCCCTCAACCATCACCAAATAGCGAATGAACGACCACACCGTCTGCACACACGGAGACGAAAACCCAATGCGCCGAAAAGTCTACAGGCTCACATTGGGCCGCCATCGTTAAAGACAAGCCCCGGGCGTCCAATGCGGGCGCCGTATCCCCGGCCAAAGTGTCCGACACAGACGTCCTCCCCCACCCAACACGAGGGCTGCACACAACACAGTACACCGCCAGCTCGCAATCGATTCCGCACACCAACATCACGAAGTGCCGCACACACAGGCGCAACGAGGAGCGCAAGTGTGACCGCTCCCCCTCACACCTCCTCGACCTCCGACTCACGATAGCAATAGCCGCCGTCAAGGGAAGCTCCAGTGCCGCGGGACAGTGGAACTGCCTCTTCGCCTTCGCCCTCGTTTGGGTCAGCCGGCGACGTGCTCTTGAGTACTGTGTCCACGTCCACCTCGCCAAACGTTTCGAAGGCCATTCTCACGGCCCCCTTCACGGCAGTGGCGGCGTCCTCGAGCACGATCGACCCGGACCTGGACACGCAGTGCTCGGCCGGGAGGCCGCTCAGACGAGCGTCGCAGTTGGAGTTGTCGAAGACGTGGTCGGCGGCGCTGCGACAGAGCGACGAGCGCGGTCAGCCGCGGGCCAACACTGAAAGAACACTGAAATGCGTTGCGGCACTTGGTGACCCGGAGGCGATGGTTCAAATGTCCTGAAGTGGAGCCCACAGGCGGACAAGAAAGACGCGAACAGGAAGCGAAGCATGCAAACTGCGCGGATGGCATCTGGAGATCTGTTGCGCATGGAACCTGCATTTCATTGCGGCATCTTGTTGGGCAAGCCAAGGTGCTCTGCAATGGCTCGCCAAAACGTTGACGGGGCTTGCTAGCTGCATTGGTTCAGGCAAGATGCAGCGACTGTCGGTTGGGTTCATTGGTAGCTGATTTTAGCTCCCAGCGTCTGCTCTTGAGAGCAAACGCTGTATTTGGCAAGTGACGTCAAATGCAATCAATGACGTTGACAATGCGTGAAAGCGACTGCTTTGCAGCCTTGCTTGGGGACATGCAAACGATGCTGGCAAATGGGTTTGCGGGCATCCAGTCAGGGTCGCAGCCCCATTTACCACCCGCAAATTCTACGAAACATGGTGATCGAAAGAGGGCCTTGTTTTGGTGTGGATTTCACTGCAACAATATGCAAGATAACTGACTTGAAGTCAGCCAATGCGGGTCGCAAACACAGCCAATCCTGGCTGAATGATCATTCAGATACAAAACAACCAAATGCAGTGAAGATTGCTTCTGAACAGAGTTCGACACAGACGAGGGCACTACACACACTGGGCAATTTGTGCATTAGGGCAAAGTGCTTGGTGCAAAAAGCAGCAGCTACATTGCAGAGGTTCTGGATCCCCCAACAGTGATAATGCATTGTCACCAATGGAAGAAACGCATTCATAAGCATACTGTCAAATTATGCAAGAGCACGTTAGACAGACGCCAGAATTATTTCTTCCACATTTCTTGCAGCACACACCTGGGCTCTGGAGCCTCTTCACAGCCCATTGCTTCGGCATGCGATGGGCCAGCGAAACTGAGGGCCATTTTCAGCGTTCTGCCGATGGATGAGAACATCTCTGGAAAAGACGACGCCACACAGTAGATCAGGACAAGCCCACGGGCATATTGGCCATTTTCGCCTTCATTGTGTAGATTGTGCAGTTGCCTCTACAACCTGTCGATCCCTGCGCATTCTGCTTTCACAAAGTACGAGTCTCCATGTCTGTTGGCAACTTGAAGGCAAACGGCAGTAACAGGGGCCCCGCAAGGGCCCAAGGGCATGAAATCATATCCACGGCATTTATAGAAATTTAAAACTAGCTGACCTCTGCCACCATAAGGTGCAGTTGGCAAGAATCTGTCCCTTAAGACAGGCTGATTCACATGGGGTGTGATGTGAATGTCATTCATTATCCTGCGTGCCATGCTTCGATGTTCCATCAGAACAAGCCAACGCATTGCAGCATGGCCTCTTTGCAAATTGCACCATACACATGTCACTAATCCGACAGGGCTGGCCTGTCAAATGTGCTTGCCGCGGTCTCTGATTCCATGTGGTTGCGCAACGCGGCTGAGGCCAACCACAAGCTATTTCCATTCTTGTATGTGAGGTATGCACAGCCAAAATATACTGTGCATTCTTGCATGTACAGACAAATCCGACAGGACAAAATCTGCGCACACCGGACTGGAAAATACCAAACATCCATCGGCCGAGGCGCTGTGTCGTTTGACAGCTGAGCAGGCCAATATTAGCCATCGCTGACTGGACGACTGCATGCAGGGCAGCCAATTCCTAACCCAAGGTCCCAGATCCTGTCGCCCCAGCACCCAGCCCAATTCGGGCGAGTTCAGTGCTCCGCCAGCGTCCAGCCATCCAGTCGCCGCGCCCGGGCCCCGCAGCCCGCAGCCCGCCGGCGCCACCCGCTCCCACCCGCGATCGCCGCACCAATCGACGCCGCAGGCGGATGGAACGCAACGCGCTCGAGCGGGCCGCAGCAATCCCGACCGGGACCGCCGCGGGCGCAACAAACCCCAGGCACCCACGAGAGCGTCCCACACCGAGCACACATTCCCTGGGCCGTCCCCTGCACATCTCCTCTCACTTTCCTCCCGGCATCGCCCGCATCTTCCCCCACGGGCGCTTCGCCCGCACATCCTCCCATTACCATCAATCACCCAGCCAAAGCACTCCCGCGCCCCCCCCAGGCCCGGGGCCCTGATCCCTCGATCTCCTCCCCACCGCGCCGGCGCCTTCCCCAGCGCTCGGGCCCCCGTTCCCCTTCCCACCTTCGGCCACGCTGCACCGCGCCGCCGCCACCTCCCGCTCGCCCTCCGTGGAGGACGGCGTGTCGCCGAAGCCGCTGGCCAGGCGCTCCACGCCGGATGTCAGGGACCGCTGCAGGGCCGCCGCGCGGGCGGCCGCCCCGGTGGGCGAGGTCGGCGCGCGCGCCAGGCGCGGCAGGGGCGCCGCGGGCCCGGACTCCTCGTCCACCGGCATGGTGCTGAGGCTGAGGGGGGGTGGCGGGGAGCGTGACCGACTCTCGCCGTGGTGGGCAATGTTGGGGCTGCACACAGTGGCGTGAGGTGGGGTGAGGTTTTGGGAGGGTTGGGGTAAGGTTTTTGGAGGGCCCCTTGGAGGCCAAGGGGGTCCTTGGGACGGTGTGCGGGCATATTCCGGCGTTTCCCCGCTCGGTTCTGGGCCCGCGGTGCGCTGATGCGTCGCTGACTGGCTTGCAGAAGGTGAGCCTGCCCTCTGGGATGGTCTGGGGCGGGGTTGGAGGCGGCGGGGTCCTGACGGATCCCAGACGGATCCCAGATGGCGATGTCCCTTGCGGTCGGGCCGTCCTATTCGGTGCGGGAGCCGTGATTGAGACGAAAACCATGAACATTCGCACCGGTCGCTCCCAAGCACTGGAAGCAAGCCACAAGCAGATGCATTACAAGATGAGTGTGCTCGGCAAATAAACTCCTGCCAGCGCACCCAATCGTATTCCCCTCATGTGCACATTATTTTCACCGTATTCACCACACAATCGCCATGCTAATTCACATCGTATTTCACATCAATCCTCCTTATTTACTCAACTAAATGTTTCGCCCTCACGGTGATGATGTCACCACAGCGCTGTAGTGACGTCCGTCACGCGTGGTTGGGAGGGTGGAAGATAATGAGCTTGGTGCCAGTGGAAGTGCTGCACTGGGCGGGTGAGCAAAGAGGGGGTGGAATTTGAAAGATGGTCTTGGATGGATGGGCCGTCACCGGAGCCAAAGGGCGCCCCGAACTGCAGTTAATGACGGTCGCACGATGGTGTTCCATGTACACCTATCCCAGAAAGCATCCGCCAGTGTGATAAAGTAGCGTACTCTTCATGCGATTGAGGGAAGTGGCAGCGATTGGCTCCGATTTGGGATGCACAACTCATGCCCTGGTGCTTGCTCTCACATCTTGGGACATGTATTGATAACAGCCCTTGACATGGGCATGGGTTTCCCCACTCGGCCTTCGTTTGATATCCAATGCTACATTCGAATATCGAAAATCGACAGACACACCGCCTATCAACGATCTGCTGCTCGCGATCACCAATACTCAATGAGAACTCATCATTGTGGAATGCGGAATTTCGATTTCTGCCCATCTTCAGTTTCTGTAGGCGCACTTTGAATCTACTTGGGACATAAAATACGCTGTCCGTGACCCTGCGCAAGAGCATCCCCAGGGTCTGCTTTGCTGCAGACTGGATGATGTCCTTAGCATAAACAACACTGCAAAATTTCGCCCGCAAAGACATGCCAGATGTCAGTGTTGTAGTCAATTCCTGCTGAAATTTGGGATCACCACCACCACGGCCGTGTACAGGTCGTCTCATGTTTAAAAAGAAATGTTCGAGAAAGCTTGCGGCATTCTGTGTTGAAATGAATGCGTTACAGCCATGTATGACCAAATCCTTCCTGAGCCATTATCAAACTCATCTGAACGCTGAATTGGAATTCAAACATATAGATATTCATACTTATTTACCGTGAGCATGAATAGAAAATTTATCTATCTTTAACCGCCGGGTAACGTGGCTGCAGTGCTTCAGTGTACGAGGGCAAGTGGGACTGTGCCTAGTACCTTGCAGCTGAGTCATGAATTCGATTCAGGCGATCACGCATGCGCGAGCTCAACTGATCTACGTTCATTTACAAGTGGCTACCCCGCAGCTA